TTCTGGACGCCAAAGAAACTGTCAGAGAACAGACAGACAACCCACAGAATGGGAGAAAATTTTCGCAAGCTACACATCCAATAAATGGCTGAAACTAGAATCTATTTAGAACTCATGAAAATCAGCCAGAAAAAATAAAACAACCCCATCAACAAATGTACAAAGGACATGAACAGAAACTTTTCAGAGAAGACAGAATAATGGCCAACAAACATGAAAAAATGCTCAACAATCTCTATCATCAGAGAAATGCAAATCAAAACACAAAGAGATATTCATTAACTCCAGTGAGAATGGCCTTATCAAAAAAGTCCCAAATAATAAATGCTGCATGGATGCGGAGAGATAGGAACACTCTACACTGCTGGTGGGACTGCAAACTAGTTCAACCTCTTTGGAAAGCAATATGGAGATACCTCAAAACGATACAAATAGATCTACTATTTGATCCAGCAATTCACTACTGGGCATCTACCCAAAAGTCACTTTATGAAAAGGACACCTGCACTCAAATGTTTATAGCAGAACAATTCACAATTGCAATGCTGTGGAAACAACCCAAGTGCCCATCAACTCATGAGTGGATTAATAAAATGTGGTATATGTATACCATGGAGTACTACTCAGCTGTAAGAAACAATGGTGATATAGCACCTCTTGTATATTCCTGGATACAGCTGGAACCCATTCTACTAAGTGAAGTAGCTCAAGAATGGAAAAACAAGCACCACATGTACTCACCAGCAAATTGGTATTAACAGATCAACACCTAAGTGGACATATAGGAATAACATTTATGGGTGTCGGGCAGGTAGGAGGGGGAGGAGGGAAAGGTATATACATACCCAACAAGTAAGATGTGCAACAGTTTGGGGGATGGACACACTTGAAGCTCTGACTCGAGGGGGCATGAGGGGCATGGGTAATATACGTAACCTTAACACTTGTACCCCCATAATTCGCTAAAATAATAAATAAATAAATAAAACAACTAAAAACTGTAAAATAATTCAAGAAAATTCTAAAACTGAGAGACATTAGTTTTCAGATTGAAATGACCCAGTGAACACACAGTACAAATGCTAAAAGACATACACCAAAACATATCAGGAAAACTCAGAAGCCTGGGAACCAAGAAAAGATCCTAAAAGTCTCCAATGATGGGGAAAATACACAGACCACAAACTAAAGATCAGGAATCAGAATGGTTTCAGACTTCTCAATAGTAATACTGGAAGTCAAAAGAGAATGGAGCAATGCCTTCAAAATTGTGAAGGAAAAAGATTTCACGCCTAGAATTTTATACCCAGCCAAATAATCAAAAAAGTCACAAAACAAACTAGAAAGCACCCCTCTGAAAAACTGAGTTACTGAAGCCCTAGCATAATCAGAGCTCAAATTGAGATGATTTTTATTTAATAAATTCTGTTCTGAGACTGTGAAAACTTATTTTCAGACATGTAAGAGGTCAAAATTTTTTTCTTTCCATATGTTCTTTCACAAAAAGCAACTAGAAAACATGCTATTCCAAAATAAGGAAGTAAACCCAGGAAAGGAGGAGGACACAGGATAAAGGTGACAGGGAATCCAACACACAAAAGGCCTCGCTATCATAATGTCACATCAAACTAAGTTTCCTCATTTAAATGAATATCCCAAAACCTTAAGAGGATATAATTCTAATGCAAGAAAATAAGTAAAAAAAACTATTGTTATGACCATTTCATTAATAGTACTTAAAAAAAAAAATTACTTACAGAACTAGCTGTGCACTGTCATGTCTCCGACGTGTTATAAGAAACTTTTCCCGCCACTGCACAAAGTTCCCCAACACATCACCAGCACCTCCAACTATGCTGATCAGGTTTCCATTTGTCCAAATCTCCAGTCCAACTAGCACAATTCGAATATTTAACATAATATACATCTGGGAAGAAAAGCAAAATAAAAGTATGTAAACTATATTAAAGAATATGAGAAAACTCTTTTAACCACATGAAATAACACAGCTACTTAAATTAAAAACAGGATTCCCTCCTCCAAAACGACAAAATCTTTCCTTTAACCTCTCAAGAGTCTCAAGTAACAGAGATTCAATTTTTTTTTATCTGCCATTCTAAAATCTGACAAACTATGAAAAGAAAAGTTTTTGGTAAAATTGATTCCAAAGTTTGCCCTAAAGTAATACAAGCCCATTCATGGTCCATATTTACACTTAGTGTAAATATTCAGACATTTCACTGCAGAAATATCAATGAGTTTGATCACAAGGTACTACCAAGATCCTGCTGGAGGTGTTATACAATACAAAATAAACCATACTGTCTTTCTAAACCCTTATCTAAAATTCTAATCACAGGTACCTCAGAGGTTTCAGATAAAGGACTGTGGAACTCATATCTATTTCATAGAGATACTGTGAAGAACAAATGTAAAGACCTTAGTTTGGTTCCTAGCACATACTAGCAAATACTCTATTGAATGCTATCATCATCAACATCATCATCATTATTATGCTTAAAGTTCCTATGAGGGGAATGCGTTATAGATAAAATTATCTTCTAGAAACATGTATCTAATTCTTTAATATCTCCTAATGGATGAACTCCAAAATCTCAACCCTACTCTCTCTCACACACAGAAACACACACACACAAAATTAATATTGTGATGTCAGAGTTTCAGGGTAGAAGGCAGCCTTACTCAAAATAAGAATCTCTCAATAAAAATTTAAAGATCTTTTCATAAACACCAAAGCATCTTAACCTGGCAACTCTGAAAATAAAGTAGATGCTAATATGAAATCTCTTGCTCTTCTCAAAGTCTTTCTACACTTGTATTTTTCTTTTAAGTATTGAAAAAGGTAACAAAATAAACTAGAAAGCAGAAATACTGAGTCATTTGGCCCTATGATAATCAAAGATCAAAATGAGACAATTTTTAAACTCTGTTCTGAGACTGTAAAAGAATATGACAGAATAATCTCAGTTGACAGAAAATACAACTCACGCTATCCAAGTAGTTTGCCAGACGAATCATCTCTTCTCTCACAGCTGTCTGATTTCTTCCCATCATGTCATACTGGAAAAGCAAAGAAGGAAACTCATTACCATCAAAGTAATTTAAGAAAAAAAATGTAGTTAATTGCAATGAAGATAAGAATCTAAATATTTCCTCTGAACTAAAATTGAGGTATTTAAACATTTACCAAAGTTTCAAATTAATAAATTCAAAGGACACATTTTAGTAATAACCAGAATTAAAGAAGATTGGGTAAAAGTGTGAAATGAATAATAATAAAATAGTACTGACATCTTTGTTTTCTTCAAATTAATGTAACTTTAAAATGAGTTTTCTTCTTAATGTTCTTTCCATTCATTTTAATGCGAAAATATTTTCAAATATTTCACAAAGGTAGAGTTTAAAATGATCAAAATGCATAGATAAAGGAGTAAAAGACAATCTAAAAGAATTTCCTGACCCTTTCACCTTTTAGGCCAATGACATTGCCAATAAACCATTTCTAAACCCTTGACTATAGTAACAATGAGAGATTAATTAGTTAATCTCTAGTTGAAAATTATAATTAATCACTAGTTGAAAATTATATATACATAGAAATATAGAGTATTAATATATAAAAGCTTAAGCCAAATATTTGATATGACTGATTCTTTTCTTCAGCTAAATCCAAATGTCTATTTTAACATTATTTTATACAACTAACTTGCTAACCAAAAGAAAAATTTAAAAAGAATGTATGATTTTGCTCTGTGATAAAGGTATTAATATCAGAATATAACAGACTTTATCAGTTAGGCATCTTGATTCTCCTGAACAAGAAAAACAATTTAATACATTTGATAGGGCTTGACTAAAATGCAATCATTTTTATTTGAACCATTTTCTACCTTTATATAACAAATCAATCTGTAGAGAGCAAATAAAGAAACACATTTTAAATCTCTTTTTGTGACTTGTCCAAAACATGCTACAGGAACTTTTTACCCATTATTTGGGGCAGAGTTTTACACTTGCTCTTATTTTCTGTTTTTTCTTTCTACCACTTGAGAATAATAAACCTATAATGAACAAATCTGAGTCATTCTCTTAATAATAATGGATTGTTTTGTTTTCCAACCTACATACAATATGGGACTTTTTTAAAACCATAAAAATCCTCAAAACTATCTCCACAGCTTACAAGAAAGGAACTGCCAATCATATTAAGTATCTACAAATAACTTCCACACAAAGTTAGAAGTAAAAGTCAAACAAAACATTTCAAATAATCCATATTTTAAATTATACATCCACTATATCTGAAACTGATAATCCTATAAATGGGGAAATGTACACATTACTTCTCCTAATCAAGTAAAGCACTTAGCTAAGTTTCTTAAGTATATATAAATAAGGGAAAACACCCTCATGTTATCCTATACACTGAAATTAATACTATTCCCTTCTAAAGCATGCCAGAACCCCAAAGTTTTCTCTCTCTTAAAGTATACATTAGCTGAAATTCTAGAAAACAAAGCAATTTTATTAAAAGCAATACCTTTTTATAATGGGCCATGGCTTTCAAGTAATCTGAAAAGTTCTTAAGATTCTGGCTAAAGAATCTTAAGAAATTCAGCATAAGCAAATCACCAGAAGATAAGAAAAAAAAATCATTAATAAAAATAAAGTTTTTGTACATTCAGCTTCTGGTGGTACTTGATTAGTATATTATGGCACTGAGTTTTTAAATTATCATTCAAGAAAAATCAATACAAACATATTTATATATTTCCTTCATGGGATGCTCACTTCTCATCTGCTTTTCATGAAAAAGAAGAAAAACTGTCACCAATCCTACCCTTTCCTTGTCTACGACAATGAACAGCTCCACATATCGGGTCTGTGGCAGGACAGCTCTTCTCCTCTGTCAAAAACACAAACATCATGAAGGCAAAAAAAAAGTTATAAGGCTATTAAGGCTATACATTTCTCATATGTAATGATCGCACCCTGATCTCTAGTCACTTATTTCATGTCTGTTAAGAACATCATAAATTATTTTACTTAACATCTCCTAGATCAATAAAGTCAAAAACATGTTTTATAAAAGTATTATCTATTCAGTGATAAAAACTTTGTCCAGCTATACTACTAACTTTATGTGATCATAAACCATGTCAAAAGAAAAATGTTTTTAAAATTAAAAAAATGTTTTTAAAGTCTTATCTGCTATCTTCATTGATCTGAGCAAAATTCTAGTTAAAGACAAAATGGGTTAGTAAAGTTTACAAAGCAGAATCACTGACTTTCTAAAATGGAAACTACACACACACACAACACACCACACACACACACACACACACACAATCTTAATGGGAAACCCCTTACTATGTTCATGGACAAAGAAAGAATATCCACTAAAATCCCAGAGCAGAAGTTGGACAAGGTTGCCACTTTAAAAAATGACTGATTTGTCATTTTACAGAAATTTATGCAAAGTAGAATAAGCAGAATTTAAATGTTTTCCAATGTTTGTAGTTGTAAAGTGTACAAAAAAGAACAATCTAAGAGTCAAAAGAGTAGATAAGAGAGGAATGAAAACAATGCCATAAATTAGTATGAGCTACTTAAAATATGCCTCTTCCAACGGAGCAACATCATCTCATATGTAGAAAGGTATATTCCTTGCAGCTGAAGTTAATCTAAATCAATTTCAATTAAATGAATCAGAGATTCGGTCAAGAGTAAATGAGAGCACTAAAGAAACTGTGAAACAGGATATGTGTGTGATATCCTTGGAAGACACCTAAAGTAATTAAAGTCTTAAAGCCAAATCTCTCTCTCAATTTCTCCAATCTAGAGCTCAAAAATCACCATTCCAGTTTGAATAAGAGGCATCTAAAATAAAAACTTATTCTCTCTGAAAGACAATGTGTGGACTATTATGTAGCAATGCTAAATATTATTACTTTCAAGATTTAAGCTCTGTTTCCAAACCCCACAGAATCTAAACTGTACTCAACTTGGAAGCAGAAACTCTATATTGCTCATCTTTTATCTCCTAGTATCTATCACAATGTCCAGAATGTACCTGGTAAAAAATAAATAAAAACCCTAATAACCTATTGGTTTAATGAATAAATAAATGATTTTTTAAAGTTAGTCTGAGCTATGAAGAATATATTATTTCCTTACTCGAAGTAGCTGAGTCATACTGGGAGGCTCTTTTCTCTTCATCCTTTGTGTTCTTTCTCTATATCCTTGTTGGAAACTGCACATTTCAGAAGGCTCTTTGTGGAATTATCATTCGATAACAATTGCTCAAATGAGAGCTGTTTTGCAGGGTTCAATTCCATAGCTTGCATTCTCTAAATGCAGCAATCCTCTAAATGTTGCATTATCATTATACATTTTAAGGAAAAAAAAATACATAGGTAAAAGAATCAGAAAACCTAAATTCATGTTGTCATTCTTAACATGTGTAAGAAAGGTAGCATGGTATAGAGGAAAACACAGAGGATTTAGAGTCAGGGAAAACGGAACGTGGACTAATTTAAAGCTCAAAACTGCTACTTACCAGCATCAGTGCCTGTGAGTCACTCAAGCTCTCTGAGTGATCACTGTAAAATGGAAGCACTAGTGGGCTGAGAAAGGTATCTCTCACATTTGGTAGAAAGATCGCCAATCACAATGTATGTAATCTACCGATAATCAGGGACCAGAGTTGGAACGTCACCTCAAATTCATTTCATCTCTCACTAGCTGCAAGGACTTCTTAAAATTATAACTTGTTACGGCTGCCATAGTTTACATTCGCATAGGA